GACAGGGATAGGGAGAAAGCCTGCCGGTTTTCTTCATATATATTTATCAAGAATAATCACATTGCCATGGATAAAGGCAGGAGAGATCCAAGCCTACCTTTTGTCCCTGAATGAGGTCCTACTGTAACATTTCCTCAGGTTGGCAGAAAGACCTGAAAAGAACGAGGAGCTTTGTTAGATGACTGAAGCCCACTTAATTTCCCCAGCCTTCCCCAGCCCCAGCCTTTGCACGAGGAGGTTTTGATCCTGGCCTGGAACAGTATGAAGTATTTGCTATGTAACTGGCTGACCCAAGCAACTGAAAGTCAAAGAGCTGCTCAGCTGAGGAGGGTTGAATCCAGCTCAAATCAGATGAGATTTATTTTTTTTTTTTCCATGCCAGAAAACATTTTACTAAGCAGTTAGGACAGGTCTTAGAGCACAGCCAAAGAAATGGCTTTTAATTTGGTCATTTTGACTCTGTTTCAGAATTTAAACCGATAAACCTCCATCTTAATTTAAAAATAAACCCATTTGCCTTACTTAATCATGCCTCTAAACACATTTGGGCCAGATCTGTGCCTGTTGTCCTTTGCAGAGGGAAAGCCAGTGGTCCCAACACCTCAGGCTCATTCTCCAGGCATCCCCAGCGTCTGTACAACTAGCAAAACTGTCTCTTTGGGTACACTTTGGCTACTAGGTCTGCTTTGATGAGCCCCAGCTGTCTTAGGGGCCATGACAGACAGCCAGATTTGGGGCAGATTTGACACTGCATAAAGAACAGGTTGAACTGGCTTTCAACATGATGGCCAGGAGACAAAGGTGGAGTGAAGCCAAATTCTCTCACACTGAGCTGAATGCAGCAAAACCTTGGATCTTCATGAGCTCAATGTCTGTATTCTTTTTTCTTTCAAATTAACCTGTCCTATTTTGCTTCATTCTTCTTTCATTTTTCAAAACCAGATTTCTTTTTTGTTTCTCTATCTGCCTCTCTCTTTTTCTTTGTGGTGTTTTTTTTGGGTTTGTTTTTTTTTTCTTTGTTATTGTTTCCAATAACAGACTTATTATGTTTATGGGATTCCTGATGTTGCTTTACTGACTCATATTTTACCATAAACTATAACTTCTTTCTTTTTCTTTCATGCTGTATTTTCCCCTCAAATGCAATCTCTTCTGAGAACAACACGTTCCCCTGACATCCCTTAAATGATGTAAGAAATCATTCTTTGAAGATAGTTTGACCCAGATGCAACGTCTTATCTGTTGCCATTAAATAGTTGTTTGGCTTTGACATGATAAATCACCCGTTTGTATTAAATAGACTTGGGTTTAAGTTGGGATTCAGCTCCTAGCAAAGGCAGGGACATGTTTTTCTCTTGGTCTTTACAACTCTTTTCTTATTCTATTTAAGATTATAATGATATATGTTTTTTCTCCCTTTACTCCTTTTTGCTCCCAAAACACTAAGGTCTTGGCCATGTGTCTTTCCTCTGTATTCTTGATTTTATTGGGTAACATTGAGAGGAACATAACCTTGGATGAGATTGTTGTGAAAAAACAAAAACAACCTTCCCCAACACCCCACAAAAGAAAACCCTTATGGTTTTATTGTTCTATCAAAGATTTATTGTCAAATTCCATTTCAGCGATTCCAGACATCATGATTAAGAAGTGGATGTGGGGTCAGAAAAATGTCCCATTGTTATTTTGAGTCAATTGGTAACTCAAAATGTTCTCTGATAAGAATACCAAAGAGGACTCCATGAAGGAATGGTGGAAGGAATGGTGTTGGGATCTCTGTTACAGCATCATGGTTCTAAGGGACATTCCTGCACAGCAGATGAATCTCATTCTACCTGCCCAGAAACTAAGCACCACTCGTTTCCTAGCAGACTGGATGATGACTGAGCAAAAGGTCAATGAATTAATGAATAATCAATACACTCTCATGGGATATTATATTAATGCTCCTTCCTGACTTCCAGTACTTTAACAAGTTCAGTATTGTAGGGTGGGATTCATTCACTCCAACTTCACTTATCTGCAATGCAAATGATTCATTTAACCTCTTTGGACAGCTGTTTTAGAATGAGATGTGCTTATAACTCTTAATTGATTATAAGGTGAGCCCAAACAGGTAGCTTAGATATGGCAGGAGGTGTAGACTACATAATCTTTAAATGACCCTTCCAACCCAAACCATTCCATGATTCTATTATATGAATTTCTATCCTATAGTGTTGTGCATGTGACCAGATGAATCCCATACAGGCAGATTTCTCTTTGTCTTATGTTTGATGTTTAGATCTTTCCATTGAAAAACAGAGGAGAAAACTTCAGGAGGCTACAGAACATTACAAGTAAGTAAGTTTTGCAACATCAAAAGCAATGGGCATGTTTCAGAGGCAAACCAACTTAACCAGCAAGTTTGCAATAATTCTGAATTACTTCATTGATTCAATCCCATTTAAACAGTCATGGTAGCATATGATCATAGTATTTGATTTTTATTCCTTTGAGCTTTAGGAAATAAAGACAAATTGCCTAAATAAACAGAGGAACTATTCACCTTAGCTCCAGATGAAACTCGTGTGTCAAAGTTCCTCAGAGAAGACAACAACATTTTGCTGTTGATTTTAATGGCATCACAGTTTTAAGAAAAAGTCTAGTGCATCATTATTTTGATAAAAGGAGGTTATTTTGAAGCCTATAGCCAAAACCAGGCTGTAGACAATCAAAATTTAATGTATCAACATCTTACTTTTATACATCTGTCTCCCCCAGAATAGCAGACAGGACTAGACTGGTGTCCAAGCCAATGCACATTGTGCCAGTCTCGTGTCCATGCTTATCACAAATCCATAGCAATAATACTCAACTTTACAGCTGTCTGAAGCTAACTTCTGGCAGAAAGGGTGACCTGTAATTTCTCCCTCATGTCCATCAATTAGGCATCCACAGCTCTAAGCCCTCTGTTTATGGGAGACTCTCTCGTCCTTTGTTCAAAGAGAACATTTCTTCTCATGGGAAGGAAGAGGAAAAGGAAAATGTAATTTTCTCTGTGTTTTGCTCTTCTATTCCCAATCTTTTCTGCAGTGATAATCCAAGAGTCCAGCTACCATCCCATGATCTGGGTGATTCAGGCTCAGCTCCCAGGATTTCAAATCACGAGTTAGATATGCACAGAGAAAGAACAGTCTGAGGAGATGGAGGAACCAGAAACCAGTGCTGCTCCTTCCAGTGAATACGTCTGGGTTATGGAGTCATACTTTTTATCTGGTCCAACAAAGTTTGAATTCTTCTGG